AGTGTGGGCACTGGTTTCTGTGGCTGGAATTTGGCTGCAGGATTGTTCAAGAACTGGAAGTTGGTTCTTGGTGAAGGTTTAGGTACAAGGACTGGAATTTTGGTTCTTGTGGTAGATTGGGTGTGTGATTAGAATTGTAATATGTAAAATATTCAATCTAGTGGAACCCAGCTGGAATTTGGCTGGGAACTGGACGTAGCTCTGGGATTGGGTGAATCAGTATAAATCTTGGTTGTATCTTTCTAAACATTTCTCTCTTTAATTCTGCTGCTGCCTTTTACTTTGATTGTTTGTTCTGTTTGATTCAAGAATTAGTCAGAATTCTTAATCTTTGAAATAGATAATCTGTAATTTGCGAAAATCTTTCAAAGATCAATTCACCCCCCCTCTTGATCTCAACCTATTTTTCTAACAGTTTTGCCTAGCAACACGACACTTGTATAACTCTCCCATAAATTCGTTCTCACGATTTAGGCTGCTCCCATATCATTTGTCACTACTACGAGAATCATTTTTACTTTCTTTTCCTCTAGCTACTAAGATGTTTCAGTTCACCAAGTTGTCTCTTGTCTGCTCGTGGTATTTTGTTAGTATTCTATATCTATAGGATTTTGAAATGCTCATGTACTAAGAGTCAAGATTTGGAGTTCATTAATTGAATATTTAATTTTCTTAAAATCTTTTACTAGGCAAGTAATTTAGGTTTAGATGTGTGCATAAGGGAAAGTTGTGTGCAATGAAAAATGCAAACACGGCTTGGGGAGGGATTTTTTCTTGTTTTATTTTATTGAATTTTATTAAAGAATAAATTATCTACTTCGTCCAACTAGTTTCCTGTTCGAGTCCTGGGCAACCCATTATAATATAATTAATACATCGAAGTTAGATTATATGTATATATATATATTTCTATATTTCTATAAATATAGCGATCTATAGAAAAGAAACTTTTTTTATGAATCTATGAAATCGGGTAAAAAAGTAAATTCGGATAAACCGAAATAAATAAGAACATACTATGGATATTAGTATTGGTTGACACTGGTATATAAGTCATGTTATACTGTTAAATAACAAGTCCTCAAATTCTCTAATTATAGAGAATTTTTGTGATTGGGAGTCCCTAATAATTAAATGAACTGAGATTTTACCATGACAACAATTCTAGAGAGATGCGAGAGCAAAAACCTATGGGACGTTATGTAATTATATAACCAGAAAATCAATTGTATATTGGATGGTTTGATGTCTTGATGATTCCTACTCTATTAACTACAACTTCTGTATTTATTATTACTTTTATTGCCACCCTCCAGTTGATATTGGTCAGGGAATCCCCTACTTCTGCGACTATAGGTTTGCATTTTTATCTTATATGAGAAACGACTTCGATTGATGAATGGTTATACAATGACAGTCCTTATGAACTAATTGTTCTACACAGCTTGCTACATGGGTCGTGAGTGGGAACTTAGTTTTTTTTTTTTTTTTGTATGCGTCCTTAGATTATTGTTGCATATTCAGCTCCTGTTGCAGTCAATATTGTTGTTTTCTTAATCTATCCTATTGGTTAAGGAAGCTTTTTGGATGGTATATCTCTAAGAATTTTTGGTACTTTCAATTTTATGATTGTATTTCAGGCTAAGCATAATATTCTTATGCATCTATTTCACATGTTAGGTGTAGCTAGTGTATTTAACGACTCCCTATTCAATGTTAAGCATGGTTCCTTGATAACTTCTTCTAGTTTGATAAGGGAAACTATAGAAAATGAATCCGCTAATGAAGGTTAAAAATTTGATTAAGAGGAAGAAACCTATAATATTGTACCTGCTCATGGTTATTTTGGTCGATTGACCTTCCAATATGGAAGTTGTAACAATTATTGTTTTTTACATTTTCTTTTCCAATTGTTTTACCTTTAGTAGATATTTGGTTTACCACTTTAGGTATCAACACTATGACTTTCAACTTGAATGGTTTTTATTTCGACCAATGTGTATTTGATAGGCAAGATCGTGTAATAAATACCTAGACTGATATTATTAACTGAGCTAACTTTGGTATAAAAGTAATGCATGAATGTAATGCTCATAATTTCTTCTAGATCTACTTGCGGTTGAAACTTCATCTATTATCCGTTGACCTAATATAAAGATAAACTAGACAAAATATTTTGACCTGTCAAGAACATCCATTTTAATAGTCTAATTTTAAACCAAGTGTATATTATTATTATTATTATTATTATTATTATTATTATTATTATTATTATTATTATTATTATTATTATATTATGTAAAGATGTAACTTTTATATATTTATGTAATAAATATATAATTTTATATATTATTCAAACTATTTTTCTTTTAATTATTATATTTAAAAATAGTATTTTTGAAAGTTACCCGGGATTAAAAAATTTACTTGTTATCTTTTTATTATTTTTCAATGTTATAATGTTTTTATGAAAAATATAGATATTATTACAATAATTAATCCTAATTTTAAATATAGTTGATAAAGAGATATTATTAATTTTATGAGAAATAGATAAGATTAACTAAATTTATATTTACTTGCTACTATGAGTTTTATCTTATATATAAAAACAGGTAAATACATAAAGATAGTATTTTAAGAAAAATTTATGTTAATTTACTATCTATATATATACAGTGTTTACTTACTATTTTTTAAATAGTTTTTAGTTTATAAAAATTTTAAAAAATAGTTTGATAATTATTTGATTAAAATAATGTTTGTTTTTAATTTTAAAATTAAAAAAATTAAAATTGATGAAATGTGTTTTTAATTCTTAATTTTTTATTAACAACATTTACGTTTTTATCTATAATTATTCAAATATTTTTTAATTTTGATGACGATTTTTTATCATCTTTTTCATATTATTATATTTTATCTAAACTATTTTTTTAAACTATGAAATAAGTCCTTCTTATTAAAAAAAATATATTTTTTCATAATATATAATTTTTTAAATTAGAAAAATAAAAATCAAACAAATGATCAAAGTCTCATTTATCTTTGTTTTTTAATTAATTCCTTGTGCGTTTATCTCCTGTATTCTCTGGTTTAGTGTAACTAACAATCATTCACAGAATTTTGAGAGTATAAAAAGTTTTTTCTCCCACTTTTTTTTTCTCTACATGACTTTTTCTAATTTTATTTCATTTTAAATTATAAAATCTATTAATTTTGATTACATGTTTTTATTGATATAGAATTGAGTTTATGCTTATTTATTTTATTTAATACTCTTCACATGACTTCTTATTCCACAAAAATTATGATAAGCAAAAAAATAGAAAATTAAAAGCTGTATTATCCTTTTAATATGCTTATTCAAAATTTAAAATATATAATTTTCTAAATTTCATTCTTAATTTTCATAAATTATATAATAAAATATGAAAGTGTTCATATGTTATATGAGCCAAAACATATTTTCTTCATTTTCTTTTGTCCCATATTCACTCAAAATTCCAATGTGACACGATCTTTACGATCGCCTCTTCTTCCAAGCTGTTTCGGTCAAATTGTTCAGCCCGAGCCAATTTTATGATGGGAAAAAGCAAGGATATATTTGTTCTTTCCATTCATTTCTCTTTGTACTTATTTTATTATTACGATATTTCGAGATTTTCATATTTAAGACAAACATAAGCACGAGCACGACGAGACTATCCTTTTACAATTTTAAAAACTTGTTTCGAAATTGGAATCTTCAAAATAACATAAAAAAAGGATCATTATACATTGCTAACGTAAAAGTTTTTTATATTGTTAGTTAATCAAAATTCATCTTTAATAATAATTTTAAGATCATTAATATAAAAATGATAAACTTAACATGTATAACAGTTTATAATTAAATAACATTACATTATTCTATATTTTTATAAGTAAAATAATAGTTAATTTATGGATTTGTATAAAAAAAAAATCTACCGCTTATGGCTTTCTGTAAAAGAAAAAAAAAATAACATGAGGCTTGAAAAAAAAAATGAAAAAGAAAGAAAATTGGCCCATGCAGGTCTCGAACCTGCGACCTTCGCGTTATTAGCACGACGCTCTAACCAACTGAGCTAATAGGCCATTCGATAATTATTACATAAACAAATTATTTAAATATTTACAATTATATTATACATGTCATGATAGAGTATTTTTAACAGCAACAGCTTCTTTTAGGTCGCTTGTATTTTCTGTGTATCAGCATCAGATACCCAGAAGATGGATCACAAGCATTTTATTAGCACCTTCAAGACAGCATGAGAAAAGGGACCAACAAAGGAGGATGTTAAGGATTTTGATGACCATAGATAAAGCACATGTTTGTATCCCCATTATGATTGTCATGGCGTACAAAGCAATTTTAAAGCAGAAGTAACTACTGAAATCCTTTTGCAAACTTAATTTTGAAGCTAGTAAACGGTATCTCAGAAGGTAACAAAAGTAGTTTTGAGAATTTTTTATTTTTTTTTCACTGTCACATGGAGCACAAGCCAAATTTCGTAGCATGTCCAAGGCTAATTTGTTGTGCTATGACACGACAACCTAAAGATTCACTGATATGGCTGTTACACACATCCATTTTCATTTTTACAAACTTGTTAGATACAACTTTAATTGAGTTTCGCGGAACTCCCAAGTCTTCCCTACGACTAGCCCATGAAAGTTGTCAAAGCAGAATCCCTCGGTAATTGATCAAATTATGTTATCTAATACATTAGGCAGTTCAAAAAGAAAAGATGTACTTTGTTATTCTTAACAATCTCCATCGAAGGATTTTTTACATTATTAAGTGACGGGCAAAACAGAAACACGGAGTTCAGTTTACCTATGACATAGGATTTTACCGATATATCATCCTACTGTTTTTGACATTTTGTATACAAATGCGTGCACATATCACAAGAAGGAGCACATGCCTCCTTGATTCCATCGAATCGGTAGCATGTCTTTCATTATGGCTCTCACTCCCCTTTGCAAGGAATGTTAGTGCAGCGGCAAACAGGTCTACCAGAAGCTTCCCACCCATTGAAGCCACGTTCCAAGACCATAATGTTCTTTATCCCAGTATCTTCCTTGTTCTCCTCAAGATAATTGACAAGCCTCCTAGCACAAGTTGGGCCACGAACCTACAAAACAGCTTAAGCCACCTTCAGTTCAGAGAGACAGGCACTGGTGTAATACAAAAAGGTAAAGGAAGAGACGAGAAAATTTGTTAAATTCCGTAATCAGTAGAACCTTGTTTCTGACATGTAAAGTTTCATTTTCGGTTTTACGATGTAACTACAAACAAAATTATATATAAAAGGTAAAGTCTAGCGTATCCATTGTATCTTGGAACCAACTGAAATACAAAATTTGCTTTCAAACAAAAGTTGAATATCAACAGCTTCAAATATTGACATCACTATGTACATTCTGAAAAGTCACTGGCAATACGAAGGCAAGTTAAATTGAAGTAAATCAGCATATACACATAAGAAGCTGAATAATCTTCATGTAGATTTTGCAATTCTAAATGGAAAGATCATCCTCGAAATGAATCAGTTGCAGAATATTCAATGTCACACTTCGCCATGACCAATGAAAGATGGTAAAAACAGTAAAAGAGACAATATATTCTGAAATTGATGATAACGAACTTTATCAAAGTTGACTATATAAAGGAAATAAAGGTTTTGTCCCTGTCTAAGGTTTTCTCATTATTAACCATCAGAAAGTACGAGAGAAGAAAGAAAGACAAAGAGATAAATTAGAAAACAAAGAGATTAAAAAATATATTTTCATTGAATCTTTTATAGATCAAAATTAGTATTTCCCTATCATGATTTATGTAAATGTGTGAGATTCATAAATTTGAAGAACCTATAGAGTATTTTTCTGGAATTGAAGTAGGAGTCCATGAAAACTATTCGAACTAACATGTGGTATCGGAGCATCATTGTTAAATTTATGATTCTCACACATTCACATAAATCATGATAGAAAGATACTAACCTTAATCCATGAAAGATCCAATAAAAATTCATTCTTCAGTCTCACACATTCACATCTTTGTCTTTCTTTCTTCTCTCACACTTTCTTCTCACACTTTCTGATGGATAATAGTGAGAAAACCTCATGATAGAGACAAAACTCTTGCTTCTTTTATATAGCCAACTTTCATCAAGTTTGTTACCATTAATCTCAAAAGATAATTTTCTATACTATCCACTAAGTTGGATAACTCCTCATATTATCCACTGAGTTTGATAACTCCTCATACTATCTACTAAGTTGGATATCTCCCTATACTATCCTAGTTACCATTAATTTTAAAACTTCCTATAATAACTAATAAGTCCTTTTATTTTATTAAATCACATTTAGGTCCATAATTATATTTCACATAAATCACAAATTGAATTAATTTATTTATTAATTCAAAAAAAAAAAAAAAAAATCAATAGGCAATATCACCAAATTCAATTCCTTAACCGACCAACCAACAAAACAAAAATAACAGAATATTGAGACAAACCCAAAAGAATTGAGAGAAGAGAAAAGTATCATTCACTATCAACAACTCTTACAAAGATCGAGCCAAGAGCTCCTTTGGAGATTGTCTCTCTGCCGTACAACTGTTTTTCTCCCCCTCATCCTCTGTGTACTGCTTCTCTTTTTATTTGGTCAGAGATCCCTCAACTATTCCGACTAACAACTGCCAGCTCATCTATGACTAACTAACTAAATCTCCAATCTTCCTTCTTTTTCCTGGATTATACTCCAAATCCTTAATATCATCTATTAACTGATCCAAAACGGACCTGGGCCATAACTGTGTGCAAGTCCGCGTATATTTGACTACAACAAATAAGAAAATTCAGTTACAAACTAATGATTGCCGAGCCAACTAAAAGTTGACATTTAACGACACAGCAGCTACAAATCTGCCCAAGAAAACTCCAAAATGAAGATCAATTCCTCTCACTAAAAGGAAATGCTCACAACATAAATTCATATAGTTCTGAGTTTTGTGCCAAGAGAGAACCCGTGAAAAGCAGGGTAAAACACTGCCATATGATAATGACAGCTATATTCCACCACCTCCGATTTCCCACTAACAACAACTTTTCCTCATCTCATGACTGTTAAAGCATCTTGGTTTATTTGGTAACTCGCAGGTTAGGGCTAACTTATGACAGATGCCATAAAACGTCTCACCCCTACCAACTTTCCCAGAAGTTTAAGATTGTCAGACGCGTGATCCATGAACGGTTTTACACACTCCTCGCACAAGAGCTCTTTGGATTTGACGCATGTACAGTTTATTGCCCAACCCATCTTGCGCAATATTCAACTCCTATGCGGAATAAAAATAAAAATAAAACAGATTCCTACAAATTTCATATTCACATCATCACACCAATACACCTAATGGACATAAGGGTGGGAATTGACTCACTGGAATTGGAATAACACAATTCGAAGAGGCAGAAAACACGCGTAAAATGAATAATTAAAAAAAAAACCTGGCTTAGAGCGCAGTGGAATACGAGAGTGTCTTTGTCTTTAACAGCCTGAATGAGGTTTGAGATGTTATCGGAGAAAGTGTCGCTTGCGTAATGAAGAGACCCTGATATGTGTCCGTCGTAACCCCTCTCATCGTCCCTTAACAAGACCCAGTAAATAATCAGCGTTTAACAATTGCAGAAAATAAAAAAAGCAATAAGCAGGGACAGAAGCAGTGGTAATGGTACCTGACATCGACGATGGCGAGGCTTGGATGGCGTCTGAGAGAGAGAAGCTGCGTGCCCGTAATGTACGATATACTGCGAGCCATTATCTCGTATCTCCTCTCCACTCTTCTCATTTCTAATTTAACTCAATTTTCTACAAGTTCCACCAACTCATTTTCCCAATTTACTCTAACCTAAATCTATGCATTTTATATACATATAATTGTTAGGGTGTGTCTGAAAATTTAATTCTGTGGTCATTTCCATGATTAAAGTAAGTAGAAGTTTAAGAGTTAAATTAATATTTTTAATTGAATAATAATAAAAAAAAACACTACAAATGTTTTAATTTTTTTCCCTTTTCTCATATTAACTCTCTTAAATAAATTTTAATTAGTTTAAATTTTAAGTTGATATAGTTTTTCCGTAATATTTTTTAGTTTGTATAGTTTGGTAATATTGAGGCATTAATCTATTTTCTTTAATTTTTTTATGAATATTCAGCATAATTTATTATATCTAAAAAATAGTTATATATATATATATATTATTTTACTTAGTCACTGTTAAAAAAATTTAGTAATAGTTTAAGGATAATATTCATAGTTTATTATGAAATCTACAACTTGTGTGGAATAAACGTGCGTTCCAAAACATTAATATCAAATTGCTTAGGAATTGTCACCAGCGATGGAAGATGCATTTCTTTCACAGTCAAAGCCAAAGCATAATTAATCTTTAATAACCCTGGTGATGTAGTAAATGAGATTAAATTTATTTTAAGTTAGAGAGTTTATAGCTCGAAAGTCATTTAAAAGTGACATTAATAATTTGAAGTAAGTTTACTCAAGGCAAATAGATAAAAAAAGTTGTAAGTTGTGTTACCATAATTTTTGAACTTTCCATCGTAGTTTTCCATTATGAGCAATCAGAAGACCCACTTAATTTAAAGCAAATATCAATGTACTTGTTTTAACAAAAAAAAAGAGAGTTAAAAATAAAATAAAATTTAGGAGTATTTAATATACATTAAAAAAATCTCAAAACATCTATATGCCACTTATTGAAAATCGAAAAAACATATTTTTTTAATTAAAAAAAAAACTACATTATAAATTTTTACCGGTGTTTGAAAATAGCGTGGGTATACATTTAATATTTTTCAACTAAATTATTATTCTGAATAGTATAAAATATCCTGAAAAATATAGAACTAATTAAAATATAAGTAATAAAAAACAAATATATAAAAATTGAAGATTAGATACTATTATATTTTTTAAATAAAAATATATTTTATTTTAAAATAAAATATAAACTAAAATGACATGTTAAAAGAAAATAATGGAATCAAAACTTAAATAAATCGTTTTCTGGAAGTATACGTTGCTCGTGTTCTCATGTTAAAGTATTTGAAATTCCAATAATAATAAAAAAAACACCTAGTTTTCGCGCTTCCGTTTCTAGTTTCCCTCTACAGACGTTTTAATCAGTCGCTCTTCTAACGTCATTTTTAGGTTTGGGGGCACTATCCGAACTTGCTTTGCCTGTCCTCTCTCGTAATGGCGTCTCGATTTGATTTCGTGCTCTACGACGAAGACCTAATCGCATCGCGACCTCTCATCGGGATCCCCGCACTATATGGAGTCACCGACGACGAAGAAACCAACGATGAAGACGAAGACGATGAAGAGTACGTTCCCGGTGTGGCGTCCCCTAGGGCTTCGCACGACGCTCCTCGTGTCGTTTCATCCAATAACGTAATCGTTATCCCCGACGAATCGCAGGATTGCGAGGTTAACAAACGCCGCAGAATTGAAGGAGGGGATGCTTCTTGTTCCTTAGCGATTGGGAGCAGTGACAGTAGCCAAGGAAACGAACACACCGATATTGACGGTCTTTTTTGCCCTATTTGCATGGATGTTTGGACCAACGACGGCGAACATCATATCTGGTGCAACCGCATTTCCCATGCCCTATATTACACACACTACCGCACGCACGCACTATGTGTTTGTTATTTGGATGTGTTTGTGGTGAAATTCTTGAGTATGTGTGAACGATGTTGTGACTATTTTAATTTTTTGGGGTGAATGAGTTCAGTTGTCTTCCTTGTGGACACATATATGGCATGTCTTGCATCAAAAGATGGCTTCGACAGCGCAAACATTCCAGCAAGGTAAATACACACTGTGTTTGGTTGAGATTTGAGAAGTGCTTTCTGAAATTGATGTAACCAAAAGTTGCTCGACATTTATCTTTTGTGTGTTCTTTCGACCCAGTGTCCTCAATGTAATAGGAAATGTTCGTTGAAGGATGTGAGGAAACTCTTTGCTTCCCGAGTAGTTGCGGTGGAAGAAAAATCTCAGAAGGTTCGGCCATATTTATGTGCTTATTTTTTGTCAAAAGAAACCTTTAAAGCAGATTGTTTACCTGATTGATTACTTTTTCGCTGTTGACAGAAAATTCGGTCACTCGAGGTCAAATGTGCTGCCCTTGAAAGTAAGGTAGTCAGATTACATTCAAGCCTTTTTTACATATATTATTTCTTCCTGGCTTTGTGTGGGTTTTAAAATTTTGATTATGTTCTTAGGGAAGTGATTGGCACAAGAAAGAAGCCGGATGGAAGTGTAGGGAAGCTGACTTGCGTTTTCAAGTTCAGAAGCTTACAGAGGTATCTCTTATGCATTATTATAGGATATAAAACAATTGTCGGTAAATAAGTGGTTTTCCTAATTTGGAAACCTTTTACAGACTATGATTGAAGCCACACTTATTGCCTGATGATATTTTATTTTTGTATGAAATAGATGACAATGTCAAGTCATGTTTGCCACACTGCATCTTTTCACCCTAGCTCCTGCTTTATAAGATCATTAACAATCTTGCTGTTGTTGTATGCCTGTTTACTTCCTTTATAACCAGTAATTTAACGTCTTCCACTCTTTGTTACTTTTTTCTAAATCTATTAGGGTATAAGGTGAAGGGGGAATTAGTTAAGATAGTTAGAATATTGATGACATAGCAGGATAGTGGGGTCATTTAGATATGAATAGGGCAAGAAGGAATAGGAGGGGGAGATTTGTTGTCATTGTATTGAACATTGGCCCTTTGTGAAGGGAAATTTTTGGAGGGGAATTTACTTCTCACCTTGTTCAATAAAATACTTTCTCTTCACATTTCAATTTTTAGTTTGTAACAGAAACCATGTTGCCTTAATAACTATTTTCTTGGTTCAACAGTTTGATGTTAAAAATTGAGGTATTTACTTGAGCATAGGGGACAGAAATTTATGCAGTGTTAATCGATTTAAATGTATATATGGTTAAACAATTATATACATTTGGTGTGTAGAGAAACACTTATTTGGAGCAGCTGCTAATAGATATGCAGAGCAGGCAATCTGCATTGATAAGTGGCAATCAAAACACTCAGTGGAGATGTGAATCTGGTAATCATTCTTTCTGCATTCAGATGAGATGACTGATCTTTGCCTAATAAAACTTGTCTCCTTTTGATCACCTGGCACCCTTCCCCACTTCCTTTCAAGAACACCAAAATCAGCAAACTCTTTTTTCAAGAAAAAATTGCCCTTAATTTCATTGATTGCTCAATTGTTTTTCCCTTACTAATTTGTGGCCTTCGGCACATTGACTTTAACTGAATGTAACTTGTAGAGCACAACTTTGTCCCAAAGTACTGTGGAAAGAGATCCATTTGTAATTTTGAATTGCAGGTATTTCCTTCTCTCATCTTGCCCTCTATCCCCTCATCTCCTACCAAACATCAACACTTTACACTTTATTCTCTTGTAGTTTCACACTTTCTCAATTTACCTCCTAATTTATTTTCCCATTAACTCCCCAAAGTTTGCGTTAAGTTCCAAAATACGATAGCATGGTTACAGCTGTGGGCTATGGAAGCTAAAACATTAATGGAATTTATTAAATTGGCAGTTCCCTTTAAACCTAACTTCAGGTTGGTTAAGTGATTTAAAAAGGAATTTAGGATGGTAAGCTGGGAGTATGTGGAACTATAAGGAGGTAATGTGTGATATAATACCCTACATTTTTCTAATCACATATCTTCTCACAATAAGCTTATTTTGTTAAATTTTTTATATTGTGTTGATGACTTGAATTTTATTTAATTAGTGTTACTTGTTATAGAATGAGTTTCATCTGGATGGTGCACACATTTTTGATATGGACATTTCTAATCAAATTTTATTAATTGCACAAAGGCCAAAGGAAGTAGGTGGAGTGCATTTGCTAACTAAAGTAAGATTCTTCAATTTGAAGTATTTATGTGTATTGTATGTGGCTTTAGTATCTCTTATGCAAAGAAGGATTTCAATTTAACCTTTATATGGAAACATGGATTTGTAGATGAGCTTGTTGTCTCCATGTGAGATGCAAGATATCTTACTGCCTTCTGCTACAAATGGTGTTAAGGACCTGCATATTTCTTCTTCTAAAAGTAGCCTGGCTCTTTTTGCTTCATTAGGAAAGAAACTATCAGTGCTCAGGTATAGTAGCATTAAGTACCAATTCATTGTGTCTTACATAGTAAGCCTGTGGTCATTGATGTATTTCCCTGTCTTACAGCTTGGACAGTGGCAACGTTGTTATCAATTATGATCTACAGGTGAAGTTTGATTCAATATTATCATTTGGTAAATTATTAGTAATAAAGCTGTTGGCAATAGTATATAATTTCAATGCTTTGAGGTTTTTTAGATTGGTATTGCTCGTATATTTAACTCGTTATCCTCCTTGAATTAAGAACAGAAAACCATAAGGGAACCCTAGAAATCTATCCAAGTAAAGATTTCCAATCTCTTTGGATCTTTTACAAAGATGCTCTTTCAAAGTAACCAATATCCGAACATCATAATGAAGATAAGAAAGTCACTGAATCCCATAAAGGATGCAGTGTTGTAAGTAGCTATCACAGATAGTCTAGCCTCAGGCACCAAATAAAAAATAGCATAGAGAAGGTGGGAAGGCAGCCTTATTTAGTTCCTGTGATTATAAGACCTCGGAAATGACATATATAGGATAGAATTCTCCAAACTACATACAAATAGATTTTCAAAATAGTTCTTCTCATGCCCCTTTTCCTGTGTTGTGTGCTAATTTACTAATTTGTTGCTTAAAGTTTGCAATCTGTCTCACATCAGAGTGTATTAGTCCCTGTTGTTTTCTAACCTTTACTTGAATTGTGTTACAGGATCCTGCATGGTCTTGTTCGTGGGATCTCAACAATTCGCATAACATATATGCTGGACTACAGGTCGGCAAATTTATTTTGTATATATATTGGATGTGGTTGCTTCAAATACTAATCATATTGATTTCCTGCAGAATGGTTCTGTGTTGGTGTTTGACATGCGTCAAACTGTAGGACCCATGAAATCTTTAGTTGGTTTGACTAACAACCCTGTGCATACTGTACATTCTCTTGCACAAACTTCAGGTCTTTCTTCGGGTGTTGGAACGATCCTTTCAGCATCTGCCATTGGCCTTTCTCAGTGGAACATTGAATCTGAAGAACGGTAGGCTACTTACATTTTATGGATATTTGCTTTACGTATATTCATTATCAAAGCCTTACAAATATTATTCTAAACATTTACTTGCTAACAATATGATCATTCAATTACGCTGGGTAATTACCTCATTGTACCCATTTTTCTTTTGGATTTGCGTAGGGCTACCTGTGGTTATAATTAGTTCTGTTTTCCAAAGTATGCTAACATTGTTACATTACGAATTGTGCATGTCTAATCTTTAGTCCGATTTTGTACCTTTCCCTTCTCCACTCCTTTTGATCCTATTATTTTTCATTTTGTATGATATTTGTATGCTAGGTCTGTAACTTGTATTGTTAAAATTATTTTAGATTATTTTCGTGTCAATGTTGTATTTCTTTTGCATTTTTTGGAAATTTACATTATTTTTGTAAATTTAATTAAATCAGCTCAAGACTACGGAATAATTCCCTGCATTTGTAAGATAGTCTATGATGGGTCATTCCTATTTTCTTTTGCGTAATTTGAACTTGGTTCCACGAGGACAGTGGTAATTTTGCAAGCACTCATGTACAGAGTTTCATTCTCTATTATTTTATTGCTGGAAATAGCTCTTCTAATGCTTCACTTTCTTTTAAATATTAAGGCCGCTTGTGGTTCCTGAAACTAACAATCAAGGAGTTTGCATATCCCTTGCCTATTGCCCTAGCAGTGATGACATTGTTGCTTCTTACCGGCCCACATTCAATATGTCCACGGATGTGCCTCTATCTCAACCATTGTCCACTCCTCTTAGTGCTGGACAAGGAGTACAGGGGACTCATGTCTTGTTCAATAGAATGGGTAGTCATCATTTTCAAAAGGTGGGTTCCTCATATGCCAATGTAAGTAAAATTCGACTACCAAAATGTGTAATTATGGACATAGAGAATCAGAGCAGATTGTTTGCATCTTGGGATGAAGTTACATGTGATTTGGTCTTGCATGAGTTGCCATCTTTTAGAGTTCTTCAGCAATTCAAATTGCCAGCTCATGCCCGTGATATTAGGTACTCACCTAGCCACGGCATACTTGGTTGTTTAAGTGAGAGCACGTTGCAACTCTTCCATTCCAAACACTCGTCGGTAAGGTAATTCTATATTTCGCAATTGCTTATCACTGCAATCCTTTCAAGAAAAATGGGGGGTCATTTGGCTTTGATGTCTTTTTGTTCTGAATTATTCTATATTAGAATTTAAAAACAGTAACAGAGAGGGGCATCCTGCCTTAGCCTACACGATGCCAAGAAAAAGTGATTTTATTTATTGTCCTTATCTTATTATTGTCCCCATTGCATTATGATACGTGTATGTTGATGGACTTCTTTATATTAAAGTTAAGTAAAATGGAAGGTAATAGATAAATTATTTCAAATTGTTAAATGTAATCGAAATGTGTGATAAAATTAAATTAATTTGAATTATAATTTTTATATTAAAACATGTGTGAGAATGAAAGAAATTACTAACCTTAGTACTTGCCTAATAGGTTAGCATGCATGGGGTCAATATCAGGATGTAAATTTCGAAATAAAACATCTCACATCAATCAAACATCTATTCCTTAAGATATGCCAAATGACGAGAAAGGGGTTGGGGTTAGGAGAACGTAACGTAGTAGAGATTTATGATGAAGCAATGCTTAACCATATTTCGATTTTTGAAAACATTCAATCATTGTCACTCCATTAATGGTTTTAAAGCTATCCACCAACCACCATATTTGTTTGATCTTAGAATTATGGCCCTCTGCTTTATGCTTTATTATTCTCTTCCACCATCTTCAACAATAAATCATTCTAGGCCATTCAGGGGATGAGTGATTGATATTTTCATAATTTTTGGTTTATGACTTGAATTGGTTTGACACACACAAGCATGATAGGATTAATGTTAGTACAATGTATATTTATATAAATAAATAAAGAAAAATACATATTTATTATATACATTAGTAAAAAGTATTTTGTAACTACTGTTTTTTAAATTTATGATGTTTTTTGTTTTGCTATTTCTAACTGAAGATATTTAAGAATATAATCTATTTTTCACATGTTAATGAGATTGAACGAGTCTAAATTTCTAGAAACATATAATATATATATAGATCTTACTCACATATTGAGTGATGTCTTTGTAAAAAAAATGATCGAAATATAGTGAAGATTATCTTCTCGAATTATTTTATATATTTTAAAAATAGTGTAAGACTTAGAAATATTTGTCATGTTTAAAACGATTCACTGTCCATGTTAAAGCAAGTAAATTTTTCTTCATTGAAATTATACATATAATTTTTTTTTAAAATAACTTTCCTAACTATCATTATAGACAAAATAAGAACAAATGGGATAATGGTTATAACGAGTCACTTCTATTAAAATATATTCAGAAAATATTTTTATTAGTTTTTTAGCCAAATATCATCTTCTAGGGTTTGGGTTAAAGCAAAATAAATAATTTAACTTGGTGATAAGGGAAATGATTTGAGGTGGGATAGATCATGATTTCGAATCCCCTTATCAGCAAAATCTAAATATCTAAGGATTCGTTTCATCCGACGGACCTGAAAATTAGAATGAAAGTTATATTTTTAATTATAATTTCTATATATAGTTAATTATTTCAAAAAATATACTTGATGTTATAATTAAAAAATATATATATATATATATATTTTTTAATCAATTTTATTTTCTCCTATCTTTTTATTTTTATATTTTTCTTCTAATTATTTTTTTAAGTAAAATCATTTTTTGCTTTATGATTTTCTGGTTTTAAAGCTTGTATTGTAATATGTTTTTTCTTTTAAAAGCTCATTAAAACTATGTAAGTTTAAAATACTCAAATTAACTCATATTTTAAAATTAAAATCCAAAATCGTCCATTTTATTAGATGAATCTGAGCTTCTGTCAGTCGTAAACTTGATGTAATTTAGAGACTACAACATGTTGAGAAGAAAAAAATAAAAAGAAAAAAAACTCCTTCTAAAATAAGATATATACCAATGAAAATATGAAATTCTACATTCTCTTAAAGAATCAGAGTTTGGTACAACTCTTGATGATCACAAACTATATAAAGTTATATTATTATAAGAAAAATTAGATGAATTTAAATTCGAGTACCTTAGAGTTGAAGACCGATACTCCAACCACTAGATTAGTAAGATTTTCTAATAATAATTTATAAATAAATTATATTTATATACAAATAAATGTATATTCGTGTAAATATATAAATATAAAATATATAAATACAAATATATAATTATATATTTATATATTGGATGTGAGGGCGTACTCAACGTGAAAGTGTGTGTCGTATTTATTAGAATATATTTAAAATTAAGTAATTATTATATAATTTTAAATATTTAATTTTTTTAATTTAATGTTAATTTTTAAAAATATATTTTAAATCTGTCGATAAATGAACAAATATATTCATCGGTAACTAATTGTTTATTTATCATAATTATTAATTTACTCGAATTAATTATTTATTTATCGATGAATATATTCAGTCAGTAATTAATTGTTTATTTACTGATGAATTTATCGATGGATATATTCATTAGTAATTAACTATTTATTTATCGACGAATATATCTAAATTTCACAACTACTCTAAATCCATTGGTAATCATTTTTTTTTCAACGGCTACATGTGCATCGGTAATATAAGATTTATTTTATAGTGGATAAAAATATCAATTTCAATTTAAACTTCTAAAGTGAAATTCAATAGTTTTTAGAAGCTAAGTGAATATCATGTTATTTTATTTGTGTATATAATTTAATCACCTAACATTTGATTGCCAAGGTTTTAGATGAGTTAATATAAAACTATAATCAAATTGCCAAACTACAAGTTCTAAATTCGATTTATATAAATTTAGTGACTAATCCCAGTTTGAAGAATCCAAACGAGCCTATAAAACAAATCTAATGTCTACTAAAAGTTTAAGCAAGATTGGTTTAGGTTATCATGAACTCAATATAAATAATATGCAACCCATAAAATGCATAGATAGAATTAAGTTATTGCAAAATTGAATTGAAACTTTATAAAATTAAAGTATATAATTATTTGAATAAATTGAACTGTATAATTGAAAAATTTGAACCAAAATTAATTATTTTGAATTACTTGGATTATATACGGTATTTAATTTAAATAATTTTATGATATTAAAATAGGTTTAATTTAATGGATAATTTTAATAAATAAATTAAGTTAGATATAAAAATACATAGTATAAATTGATTTATATAAATAGGTTTAATTTAATGAATAATTTTAATAAATAAATTAAGTTAGATAAAAAAATTGTAATATAAATTAATTTATATGAATCATGACGTATATGAATTTAGTTTAGACTAATTGGTATATTTTGTGAATTAATTCGTTTTATAAAAAAATAATTATTTTTAAATAAAAATAAAAAATGATATTATTTTATAATATATATATATAATATAAATTAATTTTATATGATATTAATTTATTTTTTTAATAAATATAAGAATAAATTATCTAATATTTTTTATTATAAAATATAATGATTCAAATTAATTATTATTTTATATAATATATTATTAAAAAATTAAATGATGACCATGATAATTAAGAATATATTTTTAATTTTTATTTTGATATTGAAAGATTTATTTGAATATTATTTATATATTAAATAATAATATCTAAAATAAAAATTAATTTCCTTAATCTAATTTAAATATTTAAAAAATATTTTATTTTATTTAATATTTTTTAATTATTTATTTTCATATAAATATATTAATATTTTTTTTAATTTTTAATTACGTTAAAATTAGTGGATTAACCTATTAACATAATATAAAATTAAATTATATTAACATTTATTACGTGTTTTAAAATATAAGTTAATCGGATCCAAGATTCTCATTTTAACGGTCATATTGTGTGAAGGAGTAATTCAATAATTTCAAAATTAAATTAAGATAATAATTGACTTTAGTTTTTATTTTATTTTATTTTATTAAGTAAAATTTTGTAAGTACAATTCAATACAAATTACGTTTAGTTCAATTCTTTTACAACTCTATTGCCACAAATTATAATAGATTAGAAAAAATAACATATTAATCTAGATTTCTTAAATAAAACTCAAACTTGGTTAAAAATTATAGTTTTGAAGGTGGTTTTGGTGGATACACATAGATTGGGATATGGTTGAATAAGGTTAAAAAGGCACAAATTTTAGTAGAGCTCAAAATTTAAAAGTCAAGACTTATATTTCATTGATTCTGATAAACGTAGTTAATTTTATCATATTTAACAGAAACTGGAGAGGAAGCTAAACCTATCATGCAAGATAAAGAAGGTATTGAAAAGAGACTAAACAAAAATCATGTTAATAATGAAATAGATTTTTGATAAAGTTTTTATAATCTCTTAAATATTTTAATTCCTAACACATATATATACTCCGGATTGAATTGAAAAAAGTAATGCAATATTTATCCACAAAAGAAGTTTTCCATATGATTTACATGCTCCTGTAATTATTTCCATTTCTTTCTCAGATGCTTTTCAATCAAACCAGAGAGGTCCACAACCTGCATAATCATGCCATATTTTTTCATGCAGCAAACTTTTCCATGGTAGTAATAAAGTTTCACATGCACCACAAATCATGGAGCAAAACACAGTTACCCTCCTCCCAATAACACACACAGAGAGGTTCTCGTTTTCATCATTAAAATGACAATAACATTATTAAATGAAGAGTGTGTCTTTTTTTGTATTGGCACTCAATGGTGCCACATTCACCGACCCATACACATTAGCCACTATGCTTTCCATTTGGACATCGATATTATTCCTTTTCCCTTGTTTTCTTCTTTATTTATTTTTCTCTGTCTAAAAGAAAAACAAACACACAATCTTCCAAATATTCTCGTGTCCTGAGAGCCTTGGACGCACAACCCCGTACACTTGCATAATGTAGCTGTCAAGCTGGAGGCCCCATCTCAAGTGACCCACGTAAAGTAAAAGAAACTTTCTCGTACAAAAAAACAAAACAAATCACAAGAGAACAGTGTTTTAATTTTTAGGACCAAAAAGTAACATTATTTTCATCCCCAATTAATCAACCATCTAAGTGTTCAATACTTCAAAGTTCAACCCCAACACTCTGGTGTAAGACTGTGATCTCTCTTGGGGTCTTGACAATAGTTATAAACCATGAGGTATCTCTGCACCCATCTCATGGTCCTGTATTGTTGTCTAGTCAACCCACCAGAGCTATATGGTGAGGCTGAAACAGGATGGCACCAGCGTGGTGCATAGGCTGAGCAACCACTAGCTTTGAAGTTCGTATACTTTGCCACAAAAGGTTGGTATTTGTAATCTGCTTTGTACTTTCCATCTTCAGTTGCCCATGATGATGCATCCCATATTGAACCATATAGCCACATTGGCCTCAGAGGAAATGTTGCACCACTCTTCCTCGGGTACCTCCTTATTGGCACATCATCCACTAGGAATCTGACACACAATTCAATGTCAGTGAAAGCAATGTTAACCGGGTAATAAAAATTAAACACCACCTTTTAAGACTCAAAAACTTGATGTCATTTTATAATTACAATTGTCTAAGTGGCTATCTAAGGAACTAGTAGATCGATTAATTAAATGTTACTTTAAACTTTTCATTAGTTGGGTGTCAGGAGATTTGTTTACTCCACACTTTGATGCTTATAATTTTTGTGCCACTCATGTGACCTTGATTCTACAATTTTTCTACATGAATTGACTATTCCTGTCAAATCCCTACTTGCCTTCCTTAATTTCAGAGAAAATTAAATTATTGCCCTTCCATCTTATACAAAATATCAGTCTAAGTTATATTATTCTTATGCACATTTTTCTATACTCATATCACTTCTCTCTCAGTTATTTTTCTTTTATTTTTACTTCTAGGTGTGGAAATAATTGTAAGAAAAAAAGTATTCGGAATAGAAAATGTCTAGCCAATCAGTTTAGGCTGGACTGTGACACCTTATGATAAGAACCAATCAAACTGATGCCACATACACCGAATCCAAGCTTATAAGTTCCTTTCATCTTCACTCCACTCTATCTACTTCAGGAGAAAACGAAGTGTTGCCTACCTTATGTATCCTTTCTTTTGGATTAATACTGAAAATCTATGCATTTAATTTCACATAGAGACACAGTCACACACATACATTCAGAAATACAGTTACAGTGTATTATGTACAGTGACTTACATTATTTCCTTGGGACTCCACAGTATAGCATAGTGATGAAAATCTTGGGTAGGATCAAACCAGAGATGGAACTTCATCTCTCTGCCTACAATTCTCCCATCTCCACTCCCTCTTATATAAACATTGGTCTGCAAAGTGTAAGGCTTTCCAAATGTTGTCCCAAGAAACTCGATGTCCACTTCATCATGGAAACCAGGATGTGCTTCACTGTTTGAGAGCTGCCATTAATCAAATAATCATTATATTCACTAATATTGATTGATTAATTTCAAGTTAGTTTCAACCAATAACACTTATCATTACATCATGTCTTGAGGCCATATCTTACATAGAAAGCTGTTATCACTCCTGCAGTATAGCCAGGTTGGACCTTAATGGAAGCACCAAAGTACCCAGATCGAAATGGCCTTACTGACTTGAAGCCACTTCCTGTTTACCAGAAGCAGTGAAAGAAGATTAAAATTTCAATGCGTTCATGCAACAGAAAGAGAGAGCATTGAAAGTGATCAGATTCAGACCTGAGGTTCTATCAAGCCAGATTGTTAGTGCCTTTTGATCTAGACTTTGGTGCTGAGGGCCCCAGAGGTTTCTAAACCCTTTGTAAAAACTAGTAGACCTGAATTTGGAACTTGGCCAGTAGCCAGGTGAAGGTGGCCAATAGGCATTGCTTGAAGGGGCCATCAAGATTAAAATAGCAAAGAGAAAGAGAGCCATGAAGAGGAGCAAGTTAAAGTGTTAGCGGAAAGGAGAATGATGCTGTTTTGTACATATGAGGGTGTGAAAGAGAAATTGCTCAAGGTAAGGTGCTTATGGAAGAATAGTGTGGTAGTCAGTTTGATATAAATAAGAAAAATAGTGGGTCCCTATTTAAGACTAAATGATGGATAATGGAGGGAACGGATGAATTAAACATATCAATAATTATTTACACATCATTACAGACAAAATGGAGGTGTTTAATAGTTGGGTTACATTGATTCAATTATACCTTGCATTTTCATAGCTATAGGCACTTAGATTAGTGTAACTTTCTTTTTCCCCATGGGAACCACTTTTTTCCCCCTCCTCTATTTATGACACAAAATCTGTAAGCTAGGTTGGAAAGCTTAAAACAGGTGATGGGATCCAGAAGGGGTAGATGGATGTGCCTTAAATGTGGCTCTTTATTTTGTGTTGCATGGCTTTCAGATTCAAGCTAGAACCTAGGCTTGTGTCTGTAGGCTTTTTTCCTTTTCATTGAAGGCTACAGGTATTTTTGTCTGAGCTGTGAAAGCAATAGCTGGATTAACCCCATCGTTTGGTGCTTTTCACCACACAATTTCCCTTCCCGTTGGGTCACTTACCACTCATTCAAGCATAAAATGCCTATACAAGGGCCAAAACGAGGCAATGAATAAATGATAAAACAGATAAAAGTTAAAACGAAAGGCAATGTGGGGCAGATTCTGATTTAGTCAATTCTCATGAATCAAAGAGAATAACGGTGTGTTATAGCCTGTGAATTTCATGAATGGAGTGGTGGGTCAGTAGCTATCCATTAATGACCCAAAACTTGATTTGATTGGGGCACATGAATGATTGATTGACACGTATAATAATCCCTCTTACTGATTGTACGAATATAGCTTATAATCTTTATATGTTCATCAATCAAGAAAATGAGTCACATATTTTGCAACCAATGCACATTTTAGTATAAACAAATCTTCAGAATAAAAAGTTGAATTGGGTGGGACAAATACTAACCATAGTGAATTTAACTTCAATTGCCCTCAAAGTTTTTCTCTTGTATAAACAAAAGAGCAGGTACATTCACTGTTCTGCTAATAACTTAAGAATATGTTAACTATCCATTATAACCCCCAAATATGCAGTTAAGTAGATTAAATGGAAGGTTATGTTTTATGAGTGAATTTGAATAATCAAAATAAATGACCATTGTGCTGAGCCAATAATCTGTTCTCCGACTTTGTCTGCTTAGGGAAGCAGAAGGTTCCAACCACTTTTCAACTTGATCTTGTGGATCAGTGCCCCATGAATCTAACTACAATTTTAAGTATGAGGGGTCGAAGTACATGAACTTGAGGCATGGTTCCCTGTGAGCAAACCACAAAATCACAACACACGGCGATATTATTATTGAGCTCAATTCTTGCAACACACATGGCTTGAGCAATTGGTAGAATTAATAACCCACAAATATATTTGAATGTAACAAACACAGGCGTAGGCTCAAGTGAAGCAAATAATCAATGTGCTGCTTAATGGGGACTTGTGCACCCTCAATTTTCAATAACAATTAACAACTTGCAAGAGCTTCTTTCTTGATCTATATATGTAGACAAATTTTACAAGAATGGGGTAAGCACTATTTTGTCGGTCACACACGCGGAGGAAGGTTGGAAGATGGTGGCAAGTAGGGTCACTTTGGCCGACAAGTAAAAATACTCACAAGAGGATTCAATACTTCACTTGCTGTAAAAACTCTGCTATATCAAATGAACCTTCTATTTCTATGCATTCATCTTGAAACAAACTTAGTAGGGTATGAATCACTTGTTCTAATCACATTTTTGGATTTGTAGGTTCAACGTCGATGCTTTTGTTTTAATCACATTTTTTATTAGCATAGGCTTTATTCACACACTCATGTTATCACACATATTGCCTTTGCTTTTGTTCAACATGCCAATAACTAATATTTAAATTTGTTACAATTAAGGAATGATCAATTTGTATACTTTAAAAAATACATTTAATAAGAAAATCTGATAAAACTATATTTCTTCTTAATATTTAATTCGATTCGGTAGGTAAGACTTTAATTCAAAATTATTAATTAAATTTTGTGTTATTAATTATTATATTCATTCATGATTTTCCATCATGAAAAATATAATCATCTTTATCTTTAAAAATTATCCTACTAATAGAGAGAATGATCGACACAATAATATAACATATAAACTCTAAAATTGAAAAAAACAATGATTATTATTTAATAATAATTAGAAAATATCACTATGTGAAAATTTTTACAATACATATATTACTCTCTACAAGATGTGAGGTGGACTTTAAACCTATTATATAACTACTATCAATCATTCTATTATTTATCCAATATGATATTAAATTTTTTAAGATTTATTTTTATCAACCCAACAATCTCTACCAAAATAAACGCATTTTTCTTTTTATCTTCATTGCTTACACCAGTAATCATTCATACTCCATCATAACCAAGATGTATTATTTTTATCAACCTAATAATCTCTACCAAAATAAACACATTTTCCTTTTTATCTTTATTGACTACACCAACAATCATTCATACTCCACCATAAAGACTATACTCACTTAAAATTAAACAATTTCAAAAATTTCCTTTCAGTATACATCTGCATCAATGCTAACCAATGTCTCGTATATAATCACCATACACCCTACATCAATATTAGTCAATGTCCTTGCACAATTACCATTAACAAAAACTCATATTTTTCTTAACTCGATTATGTCATGAGGATACTTAACTCTATATCATAAATTCTTCATTACTCTCTCATGCCCTTTGACCCCAAATACACTCATACTCTCCAAAATAAAAATTTAAAGTAAACCTCTCAACACTCTACTACAAGATTATAAAAAAATTTAAATAAAAACTTAAAAGTGTTTGAGAATATCATGAACTTTAAGCCTATTACATAACTAATATTACTCATTTTATTATTTATCCAATATGATGTGAGACTTTTCAAGATATATTATTTTCATCAACCCAACCATACAGGACATGTATAATTCAATATTTTACTGATCTTTTATACAGTTACCAAGAAGTTATTGCTTTAACATAAATATAAAAATATATTATTTTAATTAACACTAATTTTTTTTATGGACGAGTTATCAAATTATAAAAGAAAATAAAGAATAATTTTGAACAATATCTCTGTTAACTGTTAGATACATTTATAATGTGAGATCTTACGCGTTTTGAATTTATTTTAATTATATATATATATATATATATATATATATATTAAAAAAATTTAACCAATCTAAAATGTATTCTTATAAATAATGATTAACTCCATGTGATAATATTGATACTTCTTAAAATATAAATACAGTTCTATGAATAAAATATATTATAATTATTTAATTTATATTAAAAATAATTATATATTTATAAGTTATAAAAAATAATTTTATAGCAGTTAAATTAATGTTTTATTTTTTAAGTAAAATGTTTAAAATATCCATACCTATCTTTTAATATTTTTATTCAAACCATTAATTAATTTTTTTAATATTATACTTAAAATTATTTATGATTTATATAAAATCATTTATATTTATTTCTGCAAATAACTTAATATATTGAAATAATAACTGATTTCTGACTAAATAATATTTGCTTTATGTGAGTTTTCATTTTTATTTTTGTTAAATAAATTTTACACATACCATTAAGAAGAGGACAACAATGTTAACACTTATGTATATAATTTTTTTTAATTACTTTAAATATTAAATATAAACATTTTAAAATTATAAAGATGAAAATAATATAAAAAATAAAACTTTATAAGAATTTAAAATAAATTTTAGTTAACAAAATAAATAGTTTATTGAAAAAAAAATTATTGTTATTCAAAAAAAAAATATATATATATATATATATATATATATATATATATGAAGTCAGCGTAGCTAGATAAAGAAAGCGAACTCATTTCTTCACAAATGTCACCATAGCCTACGGATGGCAAAACGGGTTAGCTCGCTCCGTTTTGGCCCGTCCCACCTTGGCCTAGGTTAAAAGCGGTGCGCGCGGACTCGGTCCGATATAGTCATGACGGTATAGACCTTGGTCCGCCCGTCAAGAGGCGGGCTAGCGGGTTGACCCGTCATAATTTAGTAAAAAATAATTTTTTTAAATAATTTTTTTAATAAATTTAATAATAAAATTATTATTTGTTTGTTAATAATTTAATATATATATATATATATTATTATTTCAATTTAATAATATAAATCAATACATTATTTCATGAAATTATAATTTAGAACAATAATAAAATTTACATAATAATAAATAATAATAAATATATATATATATAAATAACGTTAAACTTATAAAATTTATATTTTTTATATTGAAAAATTTAAATACTTATATCTTTTTTATTTGATAAAACTTTATGTTATTTTTCAGTTGAGTAATTCTTACACCTTTAATTCAAATAATAAGGATAAAAATAATTAAGTGTTTAGGATAAACAAGCGAGAATGCGGAGAGAAGGTTATGTTTCGAGCAACTGAATATTTTCTCGTAAGAATGTAAACTTTTTTAATTCTCTTTTTAAAAATTTTAACTTTATATATTATTTTTATAATTAATTTTATTATAATAAAAAATTATTTTTTTATTAATTAGACGGATCGCGGGCTGACTACTGCCCCATCTGAAGTTGCCTAACGGATTGATCGGGCTTCAACCCGTCCCGCCAACCCACCGGACGTAGTCCATTTTGCCATGCCTGGCATACCCAACGCTACGCTGGATAATATAAAATAAACACGCGCTTTGAAATAATTCACAAGGGGAATATTTTCTCCACCACAATCAATCAAGAACCAAATGGAGAAACAAATAAACTAAACAATTTTAATTTTTTAAATGAAACAATTTAATAAAGAAT